TTTTACCACAAACTTCACATGTATAGCTACGAGGATTCGAATGTATCTTTGAGTGATTCAACAAGTTGCCTCGTTGGGAGAATGACTTATTGCAAACGTCACAATGGAATGGTTTTTCACCAGTATGTACGCGAATATGCGTTTGCAAGGTACGATTATTGGGAAAACGTTTCTCACAGAAATTGCACGGATACTTGGGTAGATGACGGCCTTGGGGATCTAAATGGCTGATTAAATGCCGTTTATAATTGCCTTTGTGATTAAATACCCGTGTGCATTGATTACAAGTATAAGGTGCAGTATGTTCATGTGTTGCCACATGAGTCTCCAATTCCAACTTCAACTTGAAGCGGCGACCACATTTTAGACAGCGATATCGTGAAAAATTGGAATGGCACGCCATATGCCTCTTGAGATATCTCTTTCTGCTGTACGCCTTTTTACAGAGGAAACAAGAATATGGACATTCGCCAACGTGCGTTTTCACATGTGCTCGCAACTCCCGGTGACTTTTACAATCTTTTTCACACACCATACAGAAGAATGGGCCACTAAGAGGAACGTGATTTTCAACAGTATGCAACAACACATTCGTTAGTTGATCGTAATTCTGCAGACACAGAGTACACTGATATTCAATTCCATTTGCTTGCTGTACTTCTTTTATCCGTATGATCGCATCACTCACGCTGCCCAATATATTATCTTTACCATCATTGAAGTAATCAGAATCGGATCCATCGCTATATTCTGTTCTAATAGACTGTTCATCTTTAGAACTGCTCTCATTGAATTTTTCTTCTTTCTCTTTGTTCTGTGTCGTGCTATCATATTGTTCCTCTTCATCAACTATCTCTGAGGTATCTTGCCCATCCTGTTCCCAATAAACATATTTATTCTTTCTGATTGTATTAGATTCAGGACTAGAAATGTATATGTTATTTGAGGTTTCCTCATTTTCTTGTTCATTCAATATTTCCACTTCAGAAATAAATGTATTATTGCCATTTTCCATCTCCTCTTGATCAGGATCGAGTATTAATGTATTTTCCGACACATCCGTTTCGATAGCAGATTTTTGTATATACATTACTGTAACATTTTGTGATGTAAACAATTCTGAGATTTCCTTAGGTATATCAGTTTTTACTAAATGGACTCCAATTTGATCCTTATTATTTTCTTGTATAACATCATAAAAGATGTCATTCAACTGTGAACTTTCCTTATTATTTTTTCATTTTCATCTGACTGAGGTACATCAAATTCATGTTGTTGTTCACCTTCGATTTTCTCATCCATCAGTTTAACATTTATAAACTGAAGTGTATCATCGTTTTCAGATTTTATATTGCTTGACACATCCTCGAAATTTTGAGTTTCAAAAAGTAATGTCGAGGATTTATCCGAGCTGTTTACATTCCTTTCGTTTTTCTGGAAAAAAAATAGATAACATTAATGACAAATATGACAAACAAACAAATATATCTTTTAAATGCATTAACAATGTTTTCAGGACTTAGAACTTAAATTGGATTAGTCTTTTTATTGTGATATAGTTTTTTAATATTTATAGATTAATTCAAAAGTTGCTTGTGTAATTCGTTCAATCGATACAGATTAAATATATATCAATTAATCATGTTTATTTTCTAACACTATACCTTAAGAGTGCACATTTGCATTTGTTCACGTATCATTCTAAACTTCTTATCCGATTCTTGTACCTCTATCCTAAAGTCGTATAAAACATTCGTTCGGTAAGCACACTTTAAGCAGAGCATGTTAGGCAATCCATCAAATTGGTCAATCTGCTAAAAGAAAATTTTGTTAGCATGTTGTAAATTACTTATAATGATATAAATGATTCCTCTATATCAATAAATTTTGTTAAGCTTCAATTAGTGCTTATACAAAATACACATAATGTTTTGATGAGTTATTAGTTATAAAAATAATAAAAATTAAGACTATATTCTGATATACGCTATCAGTACTATAAATCTATAGTTTTTACATATTTCAAATTTTCAATATTGATTTCAGCATATATATATCAAAATATAATTCTTTCATCTTAGATGTTAACCATTTAAGAATGCGATTGATTTTATAGACTTGCTGAATCTTTTTTTTTTTAGTTTTTCAATTAATCTATCACTATAGTAATGTTGTCAACCTATATAAATTACTTGAGATAGGATGTGCTTTGAATAAAACCTAAAAAAACTGCAAGATATTTGGTTTCATAAACATATGGTACTAAATTTAAATGCGTTTCTCGACTGCTGGGTTGTATTTCAAAATTCACTGTTAATATTAAAAATCTATATAATGTACATGATACGAATTATACATTTTCAGTATCGGTAACAAGACTGTCTTGAAAACATCACTCAAGTGCTTCCATGTATAATTTTAGCTTTGTTTTTTAACATTAAACAACAAGGATAGAATGATATACGGAATCAGTCAGACGATGATGTTTCCGAACGTAACTTAAGCTCTGGAAGTCATTAAATCTCACGTCACATGTGTTATCTTAGGGATCCTCAACTTGATGATCGTAGAGGTTAGACGCGCAAGTTTTCGTATTTTTCTGCACGAATTATCGCACAGCAGAATCGCGCGACATCTCAAACGAACGGACGATGAGCTTACCTTGATTGATGTCAGCTGCGCGAGCTTGTACGGCAGATTTTTGATAATATCATCGTCGTACATGGGTAACATTTTGCCGCCCTCCTTCATGCATGCGCGACATTTGTTCAGGTAGGAATCAACCTCCAAAGTTATATTTTGACACGACATCGCGATATCAGAAAGCTACAATGAGTTTGGGAGAACTCCGAGGAATGCCGACTAATCGTGGAAATTATTGCACAAACATGTACGATATGTTGTTTGCATCAGATGTGATTCTCACACTGGCTACAAGAACGAGTGGCGTGTAGCGTGGCGGCGTCGCTTCGTGACGGAACACTGTGGAAAGAAGGAGGGGGAAGGGGGGGGCATACCGATTGAGCCATCGACGTATAGGACAGCATACAACAAAATTTCTTTGATTTTTTTACTAATTTATTAATGGAATTTTGTCTAGCGAGAAATGGAATAGTATTTGTACAAATTACAAAATGTATAAATTGTATAAATTGAAAATATTTTTAATGTGACATAATTTTTAAGTATGTAAAGCTGTATATAAATAATGTTGTAAAATTGAACTTATTATATATTATATAATTAATAAATGATTACGGTTTATTATGCAAAACAAGCAAGCAGATATATCATCAGGTGTTTTAGGGCTCTGATTTACATCGTTTCTACCCTATGTATCGTCTTATCTCTTTCTATCTCTCAAAATAGTTTGATTCGATTCCGTCCAGTATATGAATTAAGCAACAAACTCAAGTTTAATATATATATATATATATATATATATATATATATATATATATATAGTA